CCAGGGGGCGGGCTGGCTGGCATGTGGTGCTGGGGGATTGAACCCCGGTCCCTGTGCTTTGCTAAGTTTGTTCTAAGTAGGTGCTTTAGACCACTGAGCCATCTCACCAGCCCCTCCTCCCTACTTTCTGAAGCAAGTCTAGAAGTCCTCTTTCATAAGTTGCAGTTGTGCTACTGTGACTGCCTTGGTATCCTGAATTGACTCAAAATATTTACCTTTCTCAGTCATTTTGGCTTTGCAGAAGAGCCACGAGTCACAGAGTCAGATCTGGCGAGTAAGGCACATGAGGACACAGCATCATGTTTTCTTTTATCTGTTTATTTACGTTTTAATGTATTTGGTACAGGGTCTCACTACACAGCTCGGACTCCTAGTGATCCTCCTGTCTTCAGCCTCCCCAGAGCTGGGATCACAGGCGTGCACCACCACACCCAGTCTCAGTGGTCGGCTCAGCGTGCCTGGGGCCAGCGCTGCATGTGGTGCCGGGGATCAAGCCCTGGTCCCTGCACTTGCCTAAACAAGTGCTTAGTTTGCTGAGCTATCTCACTGGCCCAGCATCATGCTTTTATGAGCCTGCGTTTCCATCGGATGGCACTCAGCAGCAGTATTCATTGTACTTTTGTGACACCTTGTAAAGACACTCATGGAAGAGCACATCTAGAACTCTTCAGAGAGTAGCAAGAATGATGGAATAAGCATTCAAAACAAGGAGGGGATATTTTGAGGGGTATTGATGGCCATTAGTATTTTACTTTTTTTTTTTCTTTTTTTTTTGGCGGAACCAGGGATTGAACTCAGGCCCTTGTGCTTGCCAGGCAAGTGCTTATTCTACTGAGCCATCTCCACAGCCCCAGTATTTTACTTTAATAAATGTTTTAAAATTTAAATATTTGCCATGTATCTTGAGCACCTCTTTGTATATATTTCTTTGTACCCTGGTCTGTGAAAATATTTTATGTATATTAAAAACTAAATTACAGCGATCGTGGCAGTTCATGGCTATAATCCCAACTACTCAGGAGGCTGAGGCTTGAGACCAGTCTGGCCTACATCTGAAACATGCTATTCCTGATTTTAGCTCTCTTACCAGGTACTCGAGCTGATAGGTGGGCACACAACTGTGGACCTGTAGCCCAGCTACTCAGGAGGCTGAGGCTTGAGGCTCACTAGTGCAGGGCCCGTCTGAGCAACTTAGTGAGACTGTTTCAAAATAAAAAGGGGTTGGGGATATAGCTCAGTGATAGAGCTATATCATGTGTGAGGCCTGGGTTCAATCCTTAGTACTAAAAAAAGAAGGCAGAAAAAAAAGAAGGAGCCCTTTGATAACGCCCCACCTCCCCGAGTCTTACTGGGGGTACTCATGATAGTGGCATAAGTGCCACCAATCACTAGATCAAGACCTGGGTCATAACCCAGACTGTGCCCTAAAGGGTCTGGGCCTCCACGCCTCTCCACCTTCCCACTTAGTCCTCCAGCCTGCAGCCCCATTGCCATTCTTTTGAGCACCTTAGGCACATCCTTCAACACCTCTTGCCTTTGTCTGTGCTGTTGCCAGGAGCCTCCGACCCCCACACCCTCCTTCTTATTACCATCGGCTCCTCTTCTCATCCAGCTGAAGCAGTCCTCCTCAGCTCAGCCCAGCACAGCGCCCTGCTGTAGTCCCCACAGGGCATTTAGCTTCCCCACACGTTCCCACTCCTCTGCCTCCTGCCAACCCCTGTCTACATGGCCCACCTGTCCATGGTGCAGTGGGCACTCCCTGGTCACTGGCTGGATGAAAGAGTGGGTCAGCAGATGGGGGAGCGAATCCCCGCCTCCACTTGCAGGCAGTGTGACCTTGGGCAAGTAACCTGAGCTTTCTGAGCGACAGGTCAATCTCCAGAATGGGAAAACAGGTATCAATCTCAGTGGAGCGTTGTAAGGCGGGTAAACGAGACCTGCAAAATGCCTGCCATGCAGCAGGGGCTCAGCCAGAGGAGCCAGAATGAAGAACAGCGAGCATCACTCACTTGGCATCAAGTGTTCATCACACTGGTGCACCGCTGGCGTGCTGGCACCCGAGGGCCTGGGAGACAGGGGTCCAGGGTGAAGCCTCCTGATGCTTCACTGTGCCCCAGTGGACCCACCCACTGCAGGGGCTTGATGATGGCAGAAATGAGGCATGTGAAACCCTCCAGCCTTCTCAAAGGCTGTGGCTTAGAAACATCTTGACCCCTAGCAGTCTGGAATTGTGTATCACCTCTTGCAAGGACTCCCAGCTCCAGAACTGACAGTGACAACCACTGCCTGCCCCGGGTGCTCACTGCCTAGAGGTCCCACAGCCCCGTGCTGCCTAGGCCATGGCCTTGGGCTAGCTGTCCTCACAGCAAGCAAGCACAGTCGCCCAGACCTGCAGCACCAGAGAACACCAAAGCCGACCCAGCCCTTTTTCTCTGTCCCCCACAAGCGGGCAAAGGCTACTCCTGCCTGTGTGCACTCCCCACCCCACTCAGTGTACCTGGCCCAGCAATGACAGTACATGCATAAAAACTTACTGACTCAAAAAAGAAAGAAAGAGAGAGAGAGAGAGAGAGAGAGAGAGAGAGAGAGAGAGAGAGAGAGAAAGAAAGCAAGCAAGCTACTGACTCGATGAGTGAATGAAATAATGAATGAACCAACCAATCAATGAATTAACTAGTCAGTACCAAGGTGTTGAGGTTAAAGACAAAGGCTTTATGCTAAGTGTGGGTCACAGTCTTACCACTTGGCTGCTGACAGACCTGGCCAAGTCACTTAATCTCATATACCTTAGCATTTAGTGACGAAGCAAGGGCAGGGCTGGGGATTGGACACCACTGGCCTGGACTAATCAGCTTTCCAGTCATGTTCCTCACTGCCAGCTACAATCTTTGAGATGTAAGGAAGGTCTAAGAGACAAAATTCAGAGAAAAGAAGGAACAAATACCCTGCTTAGCACATTCCAAATGGAAAGGACAAGCAGGGCCCAGAGGAAAAGGGGCCTCAACCCATGGCTGACTCCACAGGCAAAGCTGAGCTCCAATCCTTGGAGGCAGCAGCAAAGAGCTTATCCTGAGGTGGGCTGGGGTGCCAGGTGGGGTGCAGGGCCAGGTGAGCCACCTGCAGCTGAGGCAGAGAGCCTTGCTCTGCACCAAGCAGCTGGCCCCAGTGTTATGTCCCCTGCTCATTTGCACATTACCACCTGCTTCATGAGTACTGCCTAGACAGCTATGGTGGCCACAGGGACTAACATGGGTAGTGCCGATCCCGGTGCCAGTCCAGTCAGCACCTAGCAGCGAGCATCTGGCTCCTCCCACTTTCTTTTCAGGTGCCCAGTTTGTCTGGGCTTCTAGGGAGAGGCTATCAGGCACCAGAGGAGAGCAGGGACCAGGCTGCATGGGCACCAATTTTTTCTCATCTGATGGTGTCTCTGGTGCAGAGGGTACCTGTCCCACCCAAGGAGGGGCAGGTGACCACCCGCCTGGCCCAGTCCCGCTCACCCGCTGCAGAAACTCCGTGCGCTCCTTCTTCTTGTTCCGGCAGCGGGCTGCTGCCACTTTGTTCTTCTCCCGGCGCCTTTTCCTTCGCTCCTCCTCCTCGTCCAGCTGCAAGAGCACAGAGCCACGGATCAGACATAGCGGCAAGGAGGGAAGGGGGACAGTGCCCCTTCCTAGCCCACATCTTGGCAGCAAAATGGCTGGCTGCAGAGAGGCTCTTCTCTGAGAGGGTGGGCCTTGTGGCCAAGAACCAGTGTCTGCAGGGCAGGGCCACCTGGCTCTGCCGCAGTTCAGGGAGCAAGGCACCTGCACCCCCAGGAGGTGGCGCGGGTGGGCAGGCCTGTGCTCTTGCTCCGCCCAAGTCCACTGGGCATGGTTTTCCGGGCCAGCAGTTCCTAGGCACTTCCTTTAAAAATGTCGAGGGCACCCACACAGGTTTTCTGTCCTAGCTCCACCCTCATAGGCCTCAGGCTACCCCCACCCGCTCCTCTTTCCTTCTGCTGAGATTTTTAAGCCCTCACTGCTTGGAACCTACTCCCTCAGGCTGACAAAGGTCTCTCAGCTACTTTGCTGGGATGTGATCCTTCTGCCTGCCTCTGTTTATCCTTCCACCATGATGCCAGCTATGACAGAGCCAGGGATCCAACCCCGAGGCCTCCTGCGTCTCCAGCTGTGCTCCTCCTACATGAAGCGGGCCCAAGAGATGGGACAATGGAAGTGCAGGCTCTGCCTCGGGACCCAAACGGCAGCAGGTAGGGCTTTATTAGTAATAATAGCAACAGCTAGCAGCCATTGCCCACTTTGGTACATGCATGAAACACACACCATTTCTTTTCTTTTCTTTCTTTTTTTTTTTTTATAAATATATTTTAGTACAGGGTCTACAGGGTCTCACTGCACAGATCGGACTTGTAGTAATCCTCCTCTTTTCAGCCTCCCAAGCACTGGGATTACAGGAGTGCACCACCACACCCAGTCTTAACCACATACCATTTAAACTTCACAATCAAGTCTTAGGAGGAAGTAGCTATTACTATGCCATTTTACAGATAGTGGATCCAAGGCTCGGTAGCTTAGTCTATGTCCAAGACCATATAACAAGGAAATGGTGAAGCCAGGATTTGAACTCTGCTCTCTCCAGCTGCCACCTCCTTGCACTGCTCACTGTTTCCAATAACCCTACCGCATCAAGGTCACAGCAGTGTGGTGTCTCGTGCCTCCTATTACCTACTAGGAAAATCTGGAGACTACATACAGTCAGCTGGGCCACAAACAGCTCAGTCGGAGGCCACTAGAGAAGCTGTTGGAGTGGCCTCAGCTTGCCAACCCTCACTCCTAGAGTGGAGCAGGAGGTGGGAGATGGCTGGCAGCAAGGTCTCAGCTTGAAAGCTGCAGGCCAGGAAAATAAGCAGTCTCTCTCCCTGCACTCCCAGCATGCTCTAGGAGCTCAGGATAGAGACTGGGCCAGAGCAGCAGTGGGCAATGGCACAAGCCTGGCAGAGCAGCTTCCTCCTTCTCCCTCACCTCTGGGTTCCTCCTGACCCACACTTGCCCCCAGAGGCTGCCAGAGCGGTGCCTCGTCAACACCACCGCCCCAGGCACCTCCCAGCCCCTTGGCCTCTATTGGAATGGAACCAGAAGTGACAGCTCCTCTGGCTGACCTGCATCTGGGAAAATAGAAACCTGGCTGAAACTGATTCCGCCCTACCTCAACCTCACCCCTGTGCGCCAAGGTCATGGTGACGCCAGGCAGGGGGAAAGGAACTGAGGAAGTGGCTGGCAATGCAATCTCCCCTTGGCCAAGAGGGTTTGCCCACAAACTGCCAAGTGATGAGGGCAGCCAGGCACTGCTGGGCTCACAGGGTCTTGAGCCTCCCTCTGAGCAGCCCCGGGGTCCCTCTGTTCCCTACACTTGGCTCCACCCCCAGCCCCTGCTCAAGGCCTGATTCTAGAGTCAAGAGCAAGTGGAAGCTGCTTTGGCAGTAGATGCAGAGACCAGTGCTGGAAGGAAGTGGGGGGAGGGGGTGTTGCTCCACCCGCCCTCTGCAGTCTGCCAGTCCCCTCCTGCCTTCCCCTCTACTCCAAATACCTGGCCCTTCTCCAGCCAACCTGGCCCTTTCAGCCCCAGAGAACCTTTCTGCTCCACTTGGTAAACTCCTACGTACCTTTAAGAGTAAACACAAACAAACAAACAAACAAAGAGTAAATATCACCTCCGGGAAGGCTCCTCTGACTCCCCAGATGGAACTAGCTGCTTTGCCGTAAGAGTCTATGGCATCTGCCCACTGTCTATGGGCATCCTGTCTGCTCACCTATTCTGGAGGATGGGGACCTAAGCACGGCCTTCGGTGGGAGCTCAGTAAACCTTACTCCAATGAAAGAATGGAATAAAGGATTCCAGAGAAAGATGCTGCAGGCTTGGATTCTTTATCTGAAAGCCATTCCCTGCCTGTGTTTGCATTTGGATAACCTTTCTCCTGGAGGCTCACAGGAGCCTTTTTTTCTAGGGATGGCCTCTCTTGAAGAGGTCAGCAAAGCTTGGGGATTAGGTCCTGTCTTCCAGAGACGCACCCTGGCTGGAGGTGGGGTCTAGAGTCAAGGGCTTGGGTTCATGATGGCCGGGGCAGGTCACAAATCCCAAAAGGCCTGGATAGAGTCCAGCACGTGCCCTACGGCCTAAAGCCTCCGCTCCCCAGCTGTCACAGGTTCTGCACCCATCCCCAGACATGCCCATCTGGACCAAATAGATGCAGCCACAACATCCCACTTTGTCACACCTTTCCCATCAAAACTGGGCCAGGTTTCTGTGAACCCCTCCCACTGCTTGTTCGGGGCTGCCCTGAAGAAATGTGGAAAACAGCTGTTGGGGCCCCACCAGAAATAAGCCAGGAGTCTGCAGCTCCCCCGCACAGTCCCCTACATGCCCATGGCTACTCGAGCTCCTCTCTCCCAGGTCTAAGCCATCACGCCCCAGCCAGGACTCATCCAGACCCTTCTCGCACCCTCAGGGTGCAGATGGCTCCTTCCTTCCTGAGGCTCCCTGAGTTCTCTAAGGCGTTTGGCCAGAAGGGTGAGAGGCAGCAGAGCATCTGCAGCACACACGGTTCAGAGCCCTAAAAGGTGCAGAGCCCCAAACGGAGGGCATGGTGCTCCGTGCAGACACAGCTGGAAGAACCAGGGTTCGAGGAGAAGGCCACTTGACACGCAAGGCATTTAAAGAACTGCGAGAGGGGGCTGGGGCAGAGGGAGCATGCCTTTTCCTGTTCCCAAGCAGCTCTGGCTCCCCAAGTCCCAGGAGGGATCAAAGACACAGTGATTGGAACTGCTGGTGATGGGTGCCCCGTGCCATACTTTGCATTAAGGACCTGCAACCAAGAGGACCCTCATGTTGATCAGTCCTCCTCCTTCAGTCTGTTCTCAGGCCTTAAACCCTGACCACAGGTGGCTGTGCCACATCCACCTTCCTGGAATTTTTTTGTTTTAATTGCAGTAGGGTCTTGGTACATAGTTCAGGCTGGTCTTGAATTTGCTTATGTAGCCTAGGCTGGCCTCAAACTCACAGTGATCCTCCCGCCTCAGCCTCCAGAGTGCTGGGATTACAGGAGTGCACCACCACACCCAGCATCCTTCTGGAATTTGAAATTGGACTGAAAGACGCTAAAGCAGACATGGTGATTGATACCTGTGACCCCAGCACTGGGTAGGTGGAAGGAGGAGGAATCACAGCGTAAGGAAGGAAAACTGGAAGTTTAGGCCAGCGTGAGCAACTTAGTGAGACCCTGTCTCAAAAACAAAACAAAACAAAAAAGATTGGATGGTGAGCGTGGGCCAGGCCACTAACTCATCCATGTGCTCAGAGTCAGAAAGATGAGGCTGCAGAAGTATAGAGCAGAGCAGAGACAAGACAAAAATGTTCAGCTGTAAGGAGTCAGGGAGACCAAGGGAGGAAGGAAGCCAGGGCTGGGCCAGGCTGAGGGAGCAAGGTACACACCAGAGGGGGCTTCCCCACTCTGGCGCTCCAGCAAGCACAGGGTTGCACAGGACAGCAAGCCTCTGTTATTGCCATTCCTGGACCCCTCACCTGCTCACCCTGGCTCCAATCTTGGAGGAGAGAGCAAAGACAGAGACACATTCAGAATGCAGAAAGAGGTAAAGATGGGGAGAGAAAAGCTAAGGCGGAAAAGCAAAGCCACACAGAAACATGGGAACATAAACAGAGGCCAGTGGTTCACAGAGGGACAGGCAGTGGTACTCAGAGGGACAGACAGATGACTGGCAGAAGACACACAAAGCAACCCCGTTGGTCCTCTGGATTCCACTGCTGGTAAGCCCTGACCGTGCTCCCTATGTGTGGCATCCATGAGGGATATTCCTGGGCTTGTCCTGAAACTGCCTTCTTTGGCCTGTGATGAGTTTGAGGTTTCTGCCACTTGCCACCAAAGGAGGTTTGGCACACCACAGCCAACTCCAGCCTTGTGAAGCCAGACAATGCCAGGTGATGATGAAGGAGCAGAAGGTAGTCTTCTGACACTGACAAAGGATCTACAATCTGAGGTACAGGGTCTCAGGATAAATCCTGAGGAGATTTGACTGACCTTATCAGATACAAATGCTATAATTATTGTTACATAGGTCTTGCTTTATCTTAGTCTTAACCATCCAGGAGAAAAGTATAAAAGTGAAGTATAAGAAGTAAAGCCATGGTGTTTTGTTGAGCTGTAGGGGACTCAGGTCAACAATTTCTGACATTGCCAGTGAAGTGGAAGACCCAATACTATTATGGACTTCTGGACTATTTGGAAATATTTTGCTGAGTTCACACACCTATAATATTTAAATGACGGAACTAAACAAAAGAAGGGGATACAAATGAATGACCATTTTGTATCTGTGTTCAAAATGGTAGGATAGATATGTAGCTACATTCTCTTAATTCAATAATAGAGTGATTTGTTCTAATAGTGTTTGTAAATAGGATATCATGTCTGCATCTTGAACAACAAATAACCACTAGGAAAACAGTATGCAATGTGTTAATTTTTGAAACTGTCCTACCAATTTGATTTGAAATTGTCTCATTGCTATTTGTTTCTCAATAAAATTATGGG